TGCCTGAAAGCAGGCAAACAATACCAAGAACGGATGGGACTGCAAGCAGTCTCATACTCCCTGGAGCATGTACCAACATAAAAGAGATCTGAAAGTTCTCTGTCAAACAAAGGCTATTTTCTAAAGTTCTTGATAAGGTTGTTAAGAGTGCAGGAAGACCCTGTTCATGAGTACAAAGATGTTTTCTTGAAAACTGTTCATGCCTATCTATGCTTTGTTCCATATTACCTATGCTTTTTCCCCCATGTTTAAACATTTACCCACCCATGAGATCATGCTTTACTGTAAGCTTTGATTTTCTGATAATAAAGGCATGGGCTTCACACTCTTTTAGTGTCATTTACCTGAGAGAGCAATGACCCCTGTGAAAACCCACATTTCTTCTCGCTGGTCTTCTCTCGACTCCGTGAACACACAAACAACAGATGATCTCCTCCAATCCTGGCTCTTCAGCTTCTTAGATAATTTGATCAAGCATACAGCTTGAATAGGTTTGGAGAGAGAATAAAACCCTTACACACTCCCTTCCCAATTCCAAACCATGCTCCCCTGCTGCGTTCCCTTAACAGCCTCCTGATCCAGGTATAGGTTCTGCATGAGAACAATTAAGTGCTCTGGGACTCCTAGTCTTCTCAGTGTCGGCCACAACTTGTCATGCTCCACACAGTCAAACACCTTTGCATAGTCCATAAAGCACAAATAGACATTCTTGTAGTATTCCTTACTTTGAGTGAGGATCCATCTGACATTAACAGTGATATCCCTGGAGCCATAGCCTTTTCTAAATCCTGCTTGAGCTTCTGGCAATTCCTTATCTATGTACTCTTCCAGTTTTTTAATGATCTACCACAGAATTTTGCTTGCAAGTGATATCAATAATAATTTTCACATGCAGTTGGATCACCTTTCTTGGGAATGGCAACATGTTCCAATCCATTGGCCAGGAAGCTATCCTCCAACTTTCCTGGCATAGTCCTTTGAGTGCATCCAGGGCTGCATCCAAGGCCCTCTGGATAGCATGCCTAGAATGAATGAGACGAGATTTCATCACCCTTGCCTTTCAGGAGTACCTGGTTGCACTTCCTCTAAGAGAGAGATGTTTGTTCTTTTGGCAGAGATATTCAGTACTCTTCAACAACACAACTCAATGCCATCAATTCTTTGGTCTTCCATATTCATTTCCCATCTTTCAGATGCATTAGTTGTTGTTGTTGTTTACCATTGAGTTGGAGCTGACCCCTCCAGCAGGTTTTCAGAGGCAGTATTAACACAGGAGGAGATTGCTCATCTTCCTTCCACAGAGCAGCTGCATGATTTGAACTGTGTGCCTTCAGGATTGCAGTGCAGGTTCTTACCGCTAGGCCACCAGTTGAAAATATGTGCCTTAGATAAGGTACACCTTACCCTTTAAACTGACAACCTTGCTTTTAGCACTTGATGGAGGTCTTTAACAACGTATTTCTGTCTCACATACTTTGGGCACATGGCTGTGAGGAACCTGTCCTTAGAGAAGGACATCATGCTTGGAAGGGTGGAGGGACAGCACAGGAAAAGAAGACCCCAGATGAGATGGATTGATACAGTAACTAGAACAATAGAGGTAGGTGTGTTGGAGTCAGGGAAACCAGCTCAGGAGCTGCTGTACATAGGGCCGCTATGAATTGCAGGTTACTCGGCAGCACATAAAAATAACAAAAACAACATGAGCATGGGGAAGAGCTTATGTTTATTCAACAGTGTTGGACGGGGAAGAAGTTGTTGTAAGGTACTGTCTAGTCAACTATGACTAATAACAACTATATGAACAACCAATAGGAACCCTGCCTTACCTGCACCATCCTCACAATCTCTGAAAGGCTTTAGCCCATTATTACAATTACTGTGTCAATCCATCTTCTTTTCTCCCACCCTTCACCTCTCTAAGCATGTCTCCTTGCAAGGACTGACTCCTCCTTACAACATGCTCCAAGTATGTCAAATGAAGTTAAACCATCCCTGTTTCTGAGGAGAACCCTGGTTGCATTTCCTCCAAGATAGATTTGTTTGTTCTTTCGTCAGTCCATTCAATACTCTTCCAACAGTACAATTCAAAAGCATCAATTCACTGTCATCCTTACTTTCCTACTTTCAGAAGTATAGCAATGAAAATATCATAGCTTGGATCAGGCACAACTTAGTCTGTGGAGTTATATTGTTGTATATTGTTGAGTTGGAATGGACTCATACCAACCCATCAGCAGGCTTTCAGACACACTAAATCGCAAGGGATGAGATTGTCCATTTTTCTCCCATGGCTTCAATTTTCCCCCTTTGGTGGATTCAAATTGCATGTGTTTGAGTTGGCAGCACACCACCTTACAAACTAAGCCACTGAAGCTCCCCAGTGTGGAGTAGTTGTTGGTAGGTGTCATTATACAAAGTATGACTCATAGTGACCCTAAAACAACAGTTGTAAACCCTTTCCTATCCTGTGTCATCTCACAATCTCTAACATACTTAAACCATCACAGCAGTCACTGTGTCAGGCCGTCTGGTTGAGCATCTCCCTCTCTGGCTGACCCTCTACCTTTCCAAGCATGATGTCCCTCTCCAAGGAATTTTTGTTAGATATGGTTCAAAATTAGGAAAAGTGTACACCAAGGATGTGTCCATACCTTTTCAATCTATAGGTAGAACAGATTATCAAGGAGCCTGGGCTCTATGAGAAGAAATGTGGCATCAGAATTAGAGGAAGATTAATCGAAAATCTGTGTTATGCAGATGATACAACCCTGCTTGCTGAAACTGAGGAGAACCTGAAATGCTTGCTGCAGAAGGTCAAGGACTGCATCCTTCAATATGGATTGAGTGAGGCTCAATATCAAGAAGATGAAGACTCTCACCACTGGACTAGTTGGCAGCATAATGATGGATGGTGAAGAGACTGAGACTGTAAACAGCTTTAGTTTGCTTGGCTCCACAATCAACACTCTTAGCACCAGCAGCCAGGAAACTAAGAGACATTATTGTGTTGGGAAAGTCTGCTGCCAGAGACCTCTCCAAAGTACTGAAGAGCAGTGATGTCAGTCTAGAGACTAAGGTGCACTTGATACAGGCCACAGTCTTTGCAATCACTTGCTAAGGAGAATTGAGGCCTTTGAGTTGTGGTATTGGAGAAGAGTATTGAATATACCATGGACTGCTAAGAGAACAAACAGGTTCATCCTAGAGAGGGTTAAACCAGACTGCTCCTAGGAAGCAAGGACATGTTGCAGGGCGGGATCAGTCCTCAGAGAGGGACGTCATGCTTGGGACAGTGGAGGGACTGTGCCGGACAGGACGACCCTGGATGAGTTGGATTGATTCAGTGACTAGGGCAATGGGGGTAGGTTTGTCAGAGAGAGAGGCAAATTCCTTAAACTTGACAATTTCCTTAGTTAGCTTAGCCACACTATTCATGTCAGGAATTTAGATAATTTTTTGTTATTCTCTTCAGCTGGATCCAACTGAAGCTGACCCTCCAGTGGGTTTTCAGAGGCAATAAATCACACACAAGGGAACATGCCCATCCTTCTCATGTGTAACAGCTTAAATTAGAACCAGGTGCTTTTGATTTGGCAGCACAACTCCTTACCACTAAGCCACCAGAGGTTCCTTCTTGGGAGTTTTAGAGGCTGTAAATCCCATGAAAGAAGATTACCCATCTTTCTCCTGAGGAGCTGCTGCTGGTTTCAGTCTGGCTGCATTTAGGTTAGCAGTGCATCTTCCTCCAGTGTAGGTCACCAAAGTTACTGCACAAAGCTAATCAGGACCTTTGGTGGCTTAGAAGCAGCAGTCAGGAAATCAAATGACCTATTGCACCAGATCAATTTGCTATCAAAAACCTCGTTAAAGTACTAAAGAGCAAGGGTGTGACTTTATAGACTAAGGTGTGCCTGATCCAAGCCTTGGTTATTTTTCATAAACATGTGAAAGTCAGACAATAAATAAGGAATGCTGGAGAAAAGTTGTTGATGTCTTGTGGTGCTGGTGACAAACTCAAACTCATTGCCATTGAGTTGGAACCAAATTGTCCCTGACCCTTAAGCCAGTTTCTGAGGCTACAGGAGGTACAGAAGAGTGCCCCTCTTCCTCATGTGGAGCTGCTGGAAGATTAGAGCAGCCAGAGAGGTGGAACCTTTAGATTAGCAGTGCAACTCCCTACCAACTATGCCCCCTGAGCTCCCTAGTATGGTGAAGAGTATTGAAGATACCATGGATTACCAAAAGGACAAATCTATCTTTCATCCAGATTGCTCCTTAAAAAGCAAAGTAGGCGTGCTGTCAGAAAGGGCCAACCCTTTGAAAAAGGCATGCTGGGAAAGATGAGAAGTCAGCAAAAAAGAGCATCCTTAATAACAGAGATTGACACGGTGACTACAACAATGGGCTCACACATGGAGGAAATGGTGAAGATGGCACAGGATCAGGCAAGATTTTGTTCTGTTGCACATAGGGTGACTATGAGTCAGTGTCACCCAACATGTGCAGATCTATTTTAATATGTCTCTTAGGGAGCTCTGGTGTCCTAACGGCAAGAAGCCACACTGAAAGCCTGAAGACATGTGATTCGAAACCACCAGCTGCTCCTCAGGAGATTAACTGCCTCTGAAAACCCACTAGAGGTCAGTTTTGACTCGAGGGCAAACAAGTGACATTTGCCACTGCTAGGACAAGTACATGATGTATTTTCATTGGTAACAATTACTTCTATGCAACTGTTGCCATCTTCCATGCTGCCACAAGATTTGCAACTATTTTCTATGACATCTGTTTCCTCAGGTGGTTCTTGGCTTCAATTGGAAACCTTTCGTCTGGTGCTGAACTTGGGCAGGAAGACACCTGAACTGGGACACGAAACTTTCAACCTAACAATTCTACATCTGGAATTTTATCCTCTATATGTAGTCTTAGGGAGCTCTGGTTGGCCTAGTGGCAAAAAGCTGTGCTGCAATCCCAAAGGCATGTGTTTTGTTTTTTGTTTTTTTTTTTTTTTTGATTTAAAACATTGCTTTTAGTATGATGCCGACACCAGCTGTGCAGAAAGGGCTCTGGAGAGATGTTCATAGCAGCACACACCTGCGGCTCTTCTTCGGTTCTGGAGGCTCCAGGGCAGCCAATATTGCTTCGTCAAATACATTCTTTAGGCCTTTCTGTGTAAGAGCAGAACACTCCACATATTTAACAGCCTTCAGGTCACGAGCCAGCTTTTCAGCAGTCTCCGGGGTGATGGGCTTCTGTTTATTCTTGGCAAGTTTCTCAATAGTAGAAGGATCATCTCTGAGATCAATCTGGGTCCCAACAAGCAAGAAAGGAGTCTTTGGACAGTGGTGAGTTATCTCAGGTACCCACTTTTCTTTCACATTTTCAAATGAGGATGGAGAAACCACTGAAAAACAGACTAGAAATACATCTGTTTGAGGATAACTCAGCGGTCGTAATCTGTCATAATCCTCTTGCCCTGCAGTATCAAAGAGTCCAAGAGTATATGGTTCTCCACCAATCATAACTGTGACTGCATAGTTGTCAAAAACAGTTGGGACATACTCAGATGGAAATTTATTTGTTGTATATGATATCAGGAGACATGTTTTACCAACAGCGCCATCACCCACAACAACACACTTAATTGTCTGCATTGCTGCTAGTTTTGTATCCACTTTAAGTATTTCAAATTTGATGCTGACCTCAGCTTCTCCGCCGGGGCGTTGGCAGCACTGCGCGGGGTCTCAGGCATGTGTTTTTGAGGTGTGTTTTGCTTTGCTTTTAATTTATAATAGTTTACAAAATTCGAATACATTGTTTTTCAGACCAGATTCTTCCAATTTCCCTCACACCGTCACCCATCAAATTGTACAACCCCATAATTAATCTCCCTCACCCCCGCATATCCTCATTACTCTGTTTCCACATTCCCCTCCCCTGCCTTGGATCTTCATACTCATTCTACAATAATGGTTTTATACAATATTTGATTTTGTGGGGCTGAGTTAGTTCACTCAGCATAATGCCCTTCAGTGCCTCCCAAGTTAGGTAATAATTTACAAAATCATTACTACTGCATGCTGCCTAGCATTCCATTGTATAAATGTATCATAATTTCTCAGTCCATTTAATTGTAGTTGGACATCTGCGCTATTTGCATGTTCTTGAGATGTTGACACTGCTATGAACTTTGGTGTACAACTCTCCATTTGTGCCTCAGTTCTCATTTTCTCAGGGTATATTCTAAGCAGAGGAATAGCTGGGTCATATGGAATTTCTATGTTCAGCTTTTTGAGGAAACATCAAACTGCCTTCCATTCATCAACTTTATTCTCTTGAGATTGTACATTTCTGTCTGTATTTGGCAGTCTCTTTATACTGCAGACTAGGGCTTCTAAGCTTGATATTGGTTTTTCTCTTAGGAACTTTATGGTTTGGGGCTTTACTACCAGGTCTCTGATCCACATTGAGTTGATTTTTGTATATGGGGTGAGATGTAGATCCTGTTTCAGCTTTCCGTAGGTGGAAGTCCAGTTTCTGAAGGCATGTGTTTTGAGGCGACCAGCTGCTCCACAGGAGAAGGATGGGCAATCTCCTCCTATTCCAATAATTGCCTCTGAAAACCCGCTGGAGCGTCAGTTATGGGCCAGTTCCAACTCTATGGTACACAACAGCAACAACATATACTCTTACATGTAAAAATTTACACATTTATTCAAGACTATCTGTTACCAAACCAAAAACCTGAATACAAGGTAAATGAAAGAAGATAAAAATCTTTGTCCTCATGATAGTTATACTTTAGTAGAAGAAACCTTAATTTATAGACTTTCTGAGATGGGATATAAAAACTGGTATAAAAACAATCTGCAAAATAATATTAAATGAGGGGGGAAAAGGGACCAAATACATGTTACTACTTCAGTTAAAAATACAAATGCATATATACGTTATGTGCTGTCTAGACTCTTATGACTTATAGCAACCCTATGCGCAATAGCTCTGAACCCTGCCCTATCCTGAACCAATTTCACTGTCTCCCACATCTGCCCCTGCTACCCCAATTAGTATGTCAATCAATCTCCTCCATGATCTTCTTCTCTTGCACTGTCTCTCTACCCTTCCAAGTATGATGTATTTCTCCAGGGACTGATCCCTCCTGGCAACATGCCCAAAGTATGTGAGATGGAGCTTCAAAATCCTTGCTTCCAAGGAGCAACTTGGTTTCACCCTTTCCAGGATAAACCCATTTGTTCTCTTGGCAGTCCATGGAGTGTTCAATACTCTTCTCCAGCATCACAACTCAAAGATATCAATTCTTCTTCTACCATCCTTAGTTATTATCCAGCTCTCTGATGCATAACTAGTAACTACAAAGACCTGGATCAGGTTCACCTTAGTCTCTATACTGACATCATTGCTCTTCAGCACTCTGGATAGGTCCCTGGCAGCAGATTTTCCTAATGCAATTTGTCTTTTGATTTCCTGACTGCTGGTGCCATGAGTGTTGATTGTATAACTGAGCACGTTGAAATTGTTAACAATCTCAATCTCTTCTCCATCTATCCTGGTGCTGCCAATTGGCCCAGTGGTGAGAAACTTTGTTTTCTTGATGTTGAATTTCAATCCATATTGAAGACTACAGTCCTTGAACTTCTGCAGCAAACACTTCAGGCTCTCCTCAGTTTTGGCAAGCAAGGTTGTGTCAGTGAGATTAACTCAGGATAGGGCAGAGTTCAGGGCTGTGGTACATGGATTACTATGGGTCACAGGATACTCAATGACAGTTGTTAACAATAGATAGCAATTTTGAGCATTTTTTTTCATGTGTTTGCTGGCCATGTGACGTTTGTTTCTTATTGAAGCTTCTATTCATCTCCTGCCCATTTTGGGTTATTTTTCTTTTAATTGTTGTGTTGGAGTATTCTATAAATTTTAGTTATAAGTCTCTTATCAGATATATCATTGACAAATATATTTTTTTCTAGTATGTGGCTTCCTTTTTAATCTGTTGGAGAAATTTTTGATGACACAAAGGTTTGATTTTTTTGTTTTTTAGAAGCTACAATTCATCTATTTTATCTTCTCTTGGTTGTTGGGTTTTAGATAGGCTTGAAAATCTATTCATGCTACATACTAGAGTTTCTGGGTTTTAAATTCTATGTGCCCGTCACTGTACCAGTACCATGCTGTCTTGACTAGTATTGCCATGTAGTTGGTTTTGAGGTCAGGGAGTGTGATACCTCCTACTTTGCTTTTCTTTTTCAGTAGTGCTTTGCTTATTCGAGGTCTCTTTTTTTCCAGATAAAATTGGAAATTATCTTTTCCATCTCATTGAGGAATGGCATTGTTATTGTAATATGAGTTTTTAACACATTTAGGTATACTGTTGATGATTAAGTCATCACTGTTCTATTATTTTTATTCTAATTTTGTTGTTTTGTGTTTGTTTTTCTTTAACAAAAATTTATTTTCTCACAGTTTAGGAGGATGCCCCTTATTAAAAGTGTTAAAAACCTTGAAGGAGATCTGATATCTCATATTTTTATTATTTTGTACTTTCCATATTTGTATTTTAATAAAAGGTCCATGAAAATTTGAATACATTTGTTAATTTTAAGGCATGTAAAGTCTTGGTAATACTCTGCTGACTCCATAAATGTTATTTGAATAATTGTGGAAGCAATGACTTAAGTTTTAGAGGAATATTAAGATTTATATAATTAAGTAAATGTGGCATTTAACAAAATATAATTACAGAGTCTTTGCAGTCACAAAAGTGCTGTTAATGAAGGTTAAAACCAAAAACCTATCCCACTGCTATTAGTAGATTATGATACTATTAGGTTACCTAGGCTACAAATTTGCCAGAGGAATCCTTAGTGGCCCTGTGTGTAGAGAGTTATGCTGCCAATTCAAAAGCAGGAGAAAGATGGACAGTCTCTTCCTGCCTCTGAAAACTCATTGGTGGCCGTCAACTATAAGTAATAACTGACTAAACACCAATGAGAACTTGAACCTGAACTTGATATCTTTAAGAGTGGAGTTTCTTATCTTCCTGCCAAAGAGCACCTCCTGGATTTGAACAGTTGACCTTTTGGTTAGGAGTCTGCAAAATTACATACTACACCTCCAGGGGAACATGTCAAATTGAGAGGAAGCTGTTAGTGTTCTAGGAGCTATTGATAGGTTATTGAGCAAACTACTTTCCTGGTTGTACATTGTTCTATTGTACATAGGGTTTTCAGAGGCCTGCTATTTCAGAAGTGGATGGCCAATCCTTCTTCCTAGTCTGTCTTAATGTGAATGTTCAGATTTAGAGAAG